CGCGAGCGGCGTTCGCGCGCGCGGACGTCGACCGGGGGAGGAGGCTTGGAGACGGCGTACCGTGTCGCCGTGCGCCGTCCCGACGACACCTCGGCATCGAGCGAGCAAAGAGCGAACGAGTCGCCTGCGACCGGCCGGTCTTCCCGTACGACGTCCACCTTCCTCCCCCGTCCACACCTGTCGAGGTGTATGCGTGCTCGTCGGGGTATGCGTTATCGTCGTGGCGTGGCCGTCGCCGCCGTGGTGGTGGTCGGTCCTTGCGGTCCACCTCCTCGTCGCCGCGGATACACGAGAGATCTTACCCTGCGACGTCGACACACGCACCGCGATCACGGAAACGTGCGTCAGGGTGGTGGCATGAATGCGACTATCAGTCTCGTGGTGCGCCGCCGCCGACGCTGGCCGCGCCGTCGCGACGGCGGCGGCGGTGGCGGCGTTGGCGGCGCTGATGGAGGCAGCGGAGGCGGCGTCGCGGCGCTTAGCGCCGTCTCGTCGGTGAAATATCCGCGACGACACGGTGCAGCAGTCGAGAGAGCAGCATAGTCGACTTTTGCAAGCTCGCTTTTGCCATCGACCGACCTCTCTTTCCTTTTTTCATTTTTGTACACTTTAATAATGCAAACCTGACCAATCAACGAATTACTTTACCGCATGCAACTGAGTATGCTGGATGCACGTTGATTTTTTTATATTTGGATGCGTCACGAATTGTCGGGGTTGACGTTGCCTATTGCTGATTTGTTATTTTATACCAAAGGAGCGGAGTCAACGTTGAGCGCGCGAATTTGTCTTATCCCATATATTATCGTACCGTACAACGATACGACCTACATACGATGCAAGTTTTTATCAGAGTTAGGCATTCATGTGTAAATCATGATACTCAAAGAGAGAACACTGAAGAATACTCAGAGATCATGACACTGAGAGAAAAAAACCAAAAAATTAGTAAGTATTTATATTTAGTGGATATTTACTTAAATTTAAATTCTTTTATTTAAATAAAATAAATTATTGCTCTTACGAAAACTAAAGTTTTCTTAAGTTTTTCAAAAAATATATATTTTCTTATTTGAAAAATATTTCACACACACACACACACATATTAATATATGTAAATTTATGCTATTATAGTATATCTCTCCACCACAAATAAATATTTACTGTTTCTTAAATATTTTTGTTCTCAGTGTATGTCTATATGTAAAAACGTAAACTATGTATGAGATGTTGTCTATATCAGCGATAAGTAATTTATGAATGTCTTTTAAAGAACATATGACTTGCTAAAAAATGAATTTAAAAAGTTTATCTTCTTATTCAACCTTTAGAATCCTGACATAAATTTATAAATATTGTTTCTTAAACAAGTAAACTTAGGCTCTACAGAATTCTCTGATTACATTTTTACCTACAGAGAATTAAGTCTACTAATCTATCACATGATAAAATAAAAATTTCATGCCATTTGTTACTTCTCCTAAAGAATACATTTATAATCAATACCCAAAACATAGATTCATTTACAGAATGATACTAGAAATTTAAATGAAAATTATGCACGCGCATATTGGAGAGACTTTCTTGTATCTAAAGTATTATACTTCCCGTCTTCTATAGATGTATTGTTGTCTACAATTTCTTATGACCGCTAACACTATATTATACTTGACATCTTTTGTTAACTGTTTTTTAGATTGTTATGTGCGTATTGATAGCATCATGTTGCAGAGACAGTTTCGACTTATTTAGTGAGCTTCTGATATTTCATTTTATTCCTTCAATTAGATGTTGAAAAATTGCTTTTAACCTTTATTAACTTTTTAAGACCACGTAAGTCTGATTGTTGGCATATCTCGACTTGAAATGATCGTCTAACTAAAACAAGGAGTTGGACTTTGACAATCTGTGAAGCAATGCCACTAATTTATATTATTTTCTGTTTGGATTTGTGCTAGGGATAATTTAACGGTTAAGTTGACAAATTTCTTTTGCTTCTCCGCTGAAAATGGTCTAAAGGCGAGATCGAAACGTACAGATGTAATTTCATATACCTCACGCTATTCAATTTCTAACGCAATAACAACAGTAATTGACTTTTATTAGCCCGTTTTACACTTTCATTATTTGATCTCAGAGTCTATGTTGATATTATATAATTTTCGATATTTGTTTACATGAAAAACAATTGTGTATATATCGCATAAAAAATATGTGAACAATCAGCGTAAACGTAATTTTGAAATATACGGCAGAACCCTGGTTCTTTATTTATCATGACTTAAGCGAGGTCGTTCAACTTGTTTAATTTTCGTGAATAAGTTACACTTTGTTATCAATGACTTTGGCCTGAACGATAGCACGACCCGATATTTAGTCAGTTCAGTTTTGTCGAACTTACGACCCGCGGAATTTTGCATGTATTTTTTACGATAAAATGAAAGTTCAGGCTTCGATCAAGTTTCATATGATAGCCCGAATAGCTATCTATAAAATTTTTTTATGAAATATATACAACGTCAACTGGCCAAGTAGGTTCACTATCTAACAGTTATTTATAAATCGCAATAAGCAATATCAACGCTAGTAAATATATGAAATTAAAAAAAATATTTTAAACTTTAGTAGCCTAAGTTATTTATAAAAAGTATATAATAAACTGTGTAGCGCCATCCAACGATGTTACGGGAAATTCGTTTAGCTTAGCTGATTTGAGTCTCGACTAAATTTGGTTCGAATCTTGGCTATGTAACAGAAATTTAGTTCTGAAATCTCCGCTACGAGCCGCCACCATTCTTAGACCGGTATTTATAGTCCGATATTATATTTAAGATCATCTTAAGTACTGTTTTGATGTCATGAGCCAATCACAGAGCCGTATTCGCATCTTAAAACATTACTTAAGACGGTTTTGAAATAAGATTCGACTATAAATACCGGCCTTAATGAAGG